AAAGTCATGCCACCACAGTTTGATTTCCGGATGCAAAAGCTATATGAACTTGTTTAATGGCATTTTGCTTTGAAAAAGACGAAAAACAAACGGAAAAGAGCGGGAATGTAAGGATGCCACAAAGAGGGTACAAAACAAAGGAAACCATTGCAAACAAAGGCGTAGCCCACCATATTGAAAAGGCTTACATGGAAAGTTTTCTCTGCTACAGCAAGGATCAAACCTAACCATGAAAACCAAATACATCTCACACACAATTACGCATCGAAAACTTCATACACACCGCACAACCCACCAACAAACCAAAGGCCAAGTTTTTAACTCGGCAGTCAGCCCACCAGCGAATGCAAGGTGCCCATGACAGTCACATCGAATAGTGCCATGCAGGTTAGCAAACAAAACCGTAGCAAAATTTAAGAAATTTGGCTAACCGAAAGAGAAACCATCCCAGAGTCGGATCAGCAATGACGAAATATCCAACCATCCCCGTTCGAAATGCCGGCATCCCAACAACCGGCATTTCAAAGGCCAACAAAACAGTAGCCAACCGTCCCACCCACTTAGAGCCGCCATAAAACCGACTTCATTAGCCCCCGACGCCTGGTCCTTCCACCTGGGTGGGTGTAATGGAAGAACCAAACGCCGGAAGGGAAGGAGCTAATGCAGGGCCGACACACTTAACATCGGCACACCGAGCCAAATTAAGGAAACTTGGCAAACCGAAATCCAACCATCCGAGAGTTGACTCAGTGAGGACGAAATGGCCAACCATCGCCGTTCGAAATGCCGGCATCCCAACAACCGGCATTTCAAAGGCCAACAAAATTGTAGCCAACCGTCCCACCCACTTAGAGCCACCATAAAACCGACTGCATTAGCCCCCGACGCCTGGTCCTTCCACCTGGGTGGGTGTAATGGAAGAACCAAACGCTGGATGGGAAGGAGCTAATGCAGGGCCGACTCACCTAACATCGACACAACGAGCCAAATTAAAGAAATTTGGCTAACTGAAATCCAACCATCCGAGAGTTGACTCACCAAGGACGAAATAGCCAACCATCCCCGTTCGAAATGCCGGCATCCCAACAAC